ACTGAAGGCTGTCTTCAGCTCCTCTTAAGGGTGCCCCCCATCCCAGGCTGTCCCTCTGGTCAGTACCATGTCCATAGGCCTTTGTTCCAGGCTGCCAGCCCAACCAACTCCTCCCCCTCTCAGCTGGGTCCCCACAGCAGGACAGCTCTACTGGGTTCCCTGGGGGACCAGGCAGATGCTGTCTCTTGTCAGGCTTGTCATCTTTGCGACCCAACTCACTCCTGGCCTGTTTGTCACACTCTTCTCATCTCTTTTCCATGAATTGGTGGATCATCTTCATTTCTTTCTGACACTCACACCTCTTAGTTTTAGTTTAAAGTATTCATTATTCATCAAGGATTTATTAGTACCTATTATATAGCCAGAAGACAGCCCTAGGTGTATCCCACCTGAATTGAAAGACCATCTCAAGAGCAGATAGGATAATATGAATGCTAATAACTGAAAACAGCCGAGTTGTGGGAGGGCATCAGTAATATCATACGGGAAGAAAGCGAATGGTCATTAAAAGGACAGGAAGGAAAAAAACCCCAAAAGATGAAAGTGCATGTCAGGAGAAACTCAAACTTACTCTAGTCTAGAAAATAGAGTATCTAAAGATGGGAGAAAGGATAACATAAAAGACCTGAACAGGACATTTCAAAGGGCAGCTTGAGAAGACAAAGCATTAAAGTGAAATGTGCAACGACCTAGAGTTAGAAACCCCAAAGGGAAGAACATACTCAGCATGTCTGAAGTGGGAAAAGCTGAAGAAAAAAGTTAAGCCTCGAGTTGAAATATTGAAGATTCAATGGGCAAAATATTGCATAATGCAGGAAGCATCTAAAGAAGATGGAAGTCACTGTACCAAAAAGAACTAGTGGACCAGTAACCACTTCAAGAGGTAGCAGAAAAGATGTATCAGTGGTCCCGAAAGAGGCATTGGTGAAAAACAAGACTCCATGAGTTGATAGAATGCCCATTGAAATGTTTCCGCAAACTGATGCAGGCCTGGAAGTGGCTCACTGGTCTCAGCCAGGGAATTTGGGAGACAGCTATGTGGCCAGCCAGCCAGTTGAAAGAGATCCATTTTTGTGCCCATTCCAAAGAAAGATGATCTAAAAGAATGTGGAAATTATTGAATAATATCATTAGCATCATTTGCAAGTAAAATTTCACTGAAGATAATTAAATATATCAACAGGCTGTTGCCATAGATTCAGGATGGATTCAGAAGAGAATGTGGTATGGAATGAGGGATATCCTTGCTGACATCAGATGAATCTTGGCTGAAAGCAGAGAGTACCAGAAAGATGTCTGCTTGTGTTTTATTCACTATGCAAGGCATTTGACTGCGGGGATGCTGAGCCACGGATGACCTTGAGAAGACAGAGAACGGCAGAGCACTTCATTGTGCTCATGTGGGACTTGTGCACGGACCAAGAGGCAGCCTCCAAGGGTTGAACATTAGAAAAGGTGTGCGGCAGCCTTGAATCTGCTCACCCATGTTTTCAACCTGTCTTCGGAGCAAAGTGGAGTCCATCAAGAAGAATGCGGCATCAGGCTGCAGGAAGGCTCTCTGACAACAGGAAGACGGCATCACCTTGCTTTCTGAACGTGAAGAGGACTTGCTGATGAAGATGGAAGACTGTCTCCAGCCTCGAGTCTGTTCTAGAGCATAACGGACAGCAGCGCACATGCTCACCGCTGGCCCTACAGGTACTGTGATGCGCAGCGGAGAACAGAGCGAAGCTGTCCAGGATTTCATCTCGCTTGGCTCCACGATCCCTGTTCACGTAAGCAGCGGCCAAGAGATCAAATGACGCATTGCATGTGGCAAATCTGCACACAACCTCTTCAAAGTGTTCCAGAGCAAACATCTTTGAGGACTAAGGTACACCTGACCCAAGTCATGATATATTTTTTTTTCCTGATTTTTTTTTATAACATTTTATTAGGGGCTCATACAACTGTTATCGCAATCCATACACACATCAATTGTGTAAAGCGCATTTGTACATCATTCTCAAGTCATGATATTTTCAGTTGCCTCGTGGGTGTGAAAGGTGGACTACAAATAAGGAAGGCCAAAGAAGAATCAGTGCATTTGCCTTGCGCTGGCAAAAATATCGACTTCCCACCTATTGCCAGAAAACAGCAAATCCATCTGGGAGGAAGTACAGTCAGAATGCTCCTTCGAAGCAGAACGACGAGGCTGCATCACAGGTACGTGTTACAATGTTATCCGGAGAGACCAGTTCCTGAGAAAGGTCGTTTTGCTGGGTAAAGTATAGGGTCAGCTGAAAAGGGGCAGAACCTTGAGGTGGGTTGGCACAGTGGCTGCAACAGTGGACTCCAGCGTACCAACAGTTGAGGCTGGCACAGCCAGCGTTTCGTTCTATCATCCATAGCAGACCTGTGAGTCAGGCTCGGTGGTGGCCTCTGACAACAACGAATGCAGAGCTCCTTGGGTAGACTAAGGATTAGCACTGCGAAAGTTTGAACCTACCCTGAGGTGCCTCCCAAGAAAGCCCTGGAAATCTGAAATGGCAGCCTGGAAAACCCTGTGCCTGGCACACGTGTGTGCAACCGAGTCAGAACTCACCCAACCGCTGCTCATTGACGCAGGAATGCCAGGTACTGGGGAAACGGCGGTGCGCAAAACAGATAGCAAGGCTTGCCCTCATGGAGCTGACACTTGTTTGAGGAAAGCAGACGAGCATTCCAGTGATAAGCAGACAAATAGGACAGGGAAAGTGGCTGTGAACTGTCGCTGAAGGAATGAGGGAACATGTTAGTGGAGGGCGTGGTCAGGGAAGCTTTCTAAAGATTTTTAAGGTGCTGTCTTTGGTCCCGCACCTCCCCACCCCCACAATTAAATTTTTTTTCCCCAAAACAATTTTTTGGGGAGCTAATACAGATTTCATCCCTTTCTATGATTCAGCCACATCAAGCAGTATTGTACAACTGCTGCTACAGTCCGTTCCAAAACATTCTTTTCCTCTGAGCTCCTTCACCAGGAGCTCCCCTCCCTCACCACCACTACGGTCACACGCCCCTCTCCCCGAAACCCTAACTCTACTGGCTGTTCCTAAAGGTTCATCAATTCCGGGTTTCATATACTGAGAAACAAAAGAAAATTCACGATAGTTACCCCCAGTGAGAAAAATACATTTGCGATAAACCCCACTAGGAACAAACAAAAATGACAGAAAACATTGAAAACCAGATCAGGCTCATAAAGCAGAGAGATGGTCAACTGACTAGGTTTTAACCGGTCAAGTCCGGTTTCTCACTGTGCTTTTTTTCTGTAGTCATCTTTCTAATGCATTCTTGTTTGGTCACCAGCTTCTTCGCATCCTTCTATCATGGATCGAGGGAAGTCACCCTCTGGTGACTTACTTCCTGTGGAGATCTCACAAGTTATCTTGGGCTCCCACTGTCAGCCACAGTCTGCAAACCAGAATCTCACAATGTAGACTCTGATACTAT